GTAAGCCAGACCCAAAAAGAGGAACATGGGATGTACTCACTCATATTTGGTTTCTAGCCATTAATAAAGGACATTGAGCCTATAATTTGGGTTCTTAGAGAAGCTAAATAAGGAGAACCCAAAGAAAAACATATAGGCATTCTCCTGAATATTAACCTTCATCAGGCGATGAAAGGAGACAGAGACCCACATTGGAGCACCGGACTGAAATCTCAAGGTCCAGATCAGGAGCAGAAGGAGAGAGAGCATGAGCAAGGAACTCAGGACCGCGCGAGGGGTGCACCCATACACTGAGACAATGGGGATGTTCTATCGGGAACTCACCAAGGCCAGCTGGCCTGGGTCTGAAAAAGCCTGGGTTAAAACCGGACTCGCTGAACATAGCGGACAATGAGGACTACTGAGATCTCAAGAACAATGGCAATGGGTTTTTGATCCTACTGCACCAACTGGCTTTGTGGGAGCCTAGGCAGTTTGGATACTCACCTTACTAGACCTGGATGGAGGTGGGTGGTCCTTGGACTTCCCACAGGGCAGAGAACCCTGATTGCTCTTTGGGTTGATGAGGGAGGGGGACTTGATTGGGGGAGGTGGAGGGAAAGGGGAGGCGGCGGTGGGGAAGAGACAGAAATATTTAATAAGTAAATAAATAAATAAATAACAGAGCTTGACCTCTTTGTTTACCTATAGCTTTTGACCTATAGGTTTCGACCTCTTTGTTTGGTACTATAGGTACCAAAACAGCACCAAATAATAATTAATGACATAACTCAAGAAGGAAGACTACATAGCCACTAAGAGTTACATTGTATGAAACAAAGTAGAAGAATTTTGTTTAATTTACACAATATTCTCCATAATTTTTTGTTGTGGAGTGTGTATGTGTGTGTGTGCGCGCGTGTAAGGTCTGAGGACAAATGGTTGGAGTTGCTTCTCTCCTTCCACTGTCAGTTCCTGAGGTTGAACTCAGGTCATCAGCTTGTACTGCAAACACTTCTACCCAGAGAGCTATTTTACCGGTAACAATGTTTCTCTGTGTAACATCCCTGGCTGCCCTGGAACTAGCTCTTGTAGACCAGGTTGTAGACCTCGAAGTCAACCTGTCTCTACCTCCCAAGTGCTGGGATCGAAGGTGTGTATCACCACCATCCTGCTCTAAATTGTATTTTTTAACACTATGAAATAAAGTATACAGGTAACTATTATTTAAACATTTTATTTTTATAAATGTAATGTTTGTGATTTCGAAAAGAAAGTAAAAATATCCACAAAGATTATTTTACAGTGAAATTTTCTCTGTTCTCTTAGTAGTTAGATTATAAGTAGGATTTTCCTCTTCCTCTATTGTATACATCTCTTCTTTAGGTGAAGATATATACTTGTTTTTCATTTATGATTAAGCTTGTAATGACTACACTAGAAGACAAAAAAGTGCATACTTTTTTACTCTATAGTATAGGCATTCTGTAAATTCATGTGGGCTTTAACAATTAATAAATTAGTTCAAGTTTTTAAATTTTATGTTCTGAATTGTCTACTTGAGTTGTCTGACCAGTGCAACATGAATCAGGCAGATTTATTCCCTGTGCTACTTTAAAAGAAAGATGCTCAGTGTATCGGAAGTTTAGATAATGAGCCAGCGGGGCATTACCTGAAGCTAGTCGTGCTTTTTAAAAACCTGGTGCTAACAAGCTCTGCGCATGGTTTCCAGTAACGATGGTTTTGCCTTCGCATCCTGTCTCCTCTCACACTGCTGTTTACTCGCAGCAAGTTGTTTGACTGATGTCAGTTCCCAAGTGTCAGGAGAGCAGGTCTCCTCCAAGATACCCACATTTGGGAGCTGAAAGAGTAGCTCAGAATGCCCAGCACGGGATCTCAGAAATCATGTCCATACCCCTGCATCGTTGTGAGTCCCCTCTTAGCGCCTTGTTCACACTAACCTTACAGTTGACTGCTGTGCATCTGGCTTTCCCAGAAAGCAGGAGACAACACCGCCATCCTTATCTTAATAAGTCCCATGTGTTAAATGCTCACCGTGTGCTGAAACAGTCCTTCCCTGCTGCATGCCTTGATTTGAACCTCCTATTAGCAAAAGTAAATGCTATCTTCTCCATGCGACCCCTAGAAAAACTAAGGATTTGATTTTGATTTTAAGCAGACAGAATTCTAAACTTCAGGAAGTGAACATAAAACCAATGTTGTTCTCAGTAAACTGGTTTAGTGATTGTATTATTTTTCTGTTGCCCTAACTAAATATTAGATAGAGGCAATTCAGCTAGAGACAGGTTAATTCATTCATTCATTTTTTGAGGCAGGTTAATTTTGCCTCACTGTTTAGAATGTCCCGTCATAGTGAGGAAGGCACAGTGTCAGCGACAGGACACAGCCCTGATGGCTGAAGTATGAAACAGCCAGTAACAAGGTGACAATCAAGAAGCAGAGAACTCAAGCCAAAAGTAGGCCAGCTACCCTCGGCATTTCTCCTGGCCTAAGGCAGCTGTCTCCCAAAGCCTCCCCAACACTCTGCCCCCAGCCCCGACCAATATGTGGCTATCAGTAGGGAACCTCATGTTCAAACACATTGAACCTATGAGGAATGGTTCACATTCAAATCACAGCACTTCATCCCTTGCCCTCAGAGGCTCGTGGCCACTTCATAATTAGTACTAATTTTACTCAATCTAGCTTTAAGAATCCCCATGTGGAATAATTCAAACACTGTCCAGAAATCCAGTCTCCTGAGACTCAGGGAAGATTCTTAGTTGTGAAAGCCCTGTAAAACCAGAAAACAAGTTGTATTCTTACAATGTACAATAGCACGGAGTAGACACTCTCATTCCAAACGCGAAGAACAGGAGACTAGCAAGGAACCCTTAGACCAAAGCAAGATTGAAACCTGTCAGGCAAACACCAAACCCTGGTCTGGTGCTCCACTCCCAACCCATGGGCCTTTGGTGGTGTCATCTGAGATCCCATGGCCTTGAGTAGCCTCTTGACTGTCTCACTCAGTTTCCGCAGTCTTTCTCATCAAATGCCCCGGACTCTTCTCACCTCTGTCATCCTGTAGTCTCCATTGCAATCTCAGCTTCTTCTCTTCCATGGCTTCACAGTGGGAGCGTCTTAGATTGTCTCTCCAGTCACTCCAGCCCTGTCTCACGCTGGCCTTTTCTCTGGAGTCTTGGGGTGAGCTTCCATTGATGGCCGTGTTACTCGAGTTCTGATGCCAGCTTCTGGTGCTGCCTCTCCTCCAAGAGTATGGCTGCAGTGGCCTCCAAGCACCCGCAGCCACACCAGAGGAAGGGTTTCTCTGTTTCAGCCCTTTTGAGGTAGTGCATCTGTGTAGTGGCATTCTTCATTTGGGCTTAGTTTTTACATTGAAGGTTCTCTTTTTAAATGACAGATTTCCAAATGAGTTTATAGTTTTATACTCCGGCATCTTCCGTGGGTGGGATCACTGGCAAAGCACCTTTCTGTTTGTCTTTGTGGAAAGGCTGTGGATCCTCTTTCTTGACACTTAATTGAGCTCCTTAGCAAGTATCATTGCTTTTCTTCCCACTCGCTCCTCAGCCCTGGTCACACGTCCAAAGGCTCTCTGCTCTTTAATTTCAGATTTTTTTTCTGTATCATTCTGTTCTGGTTTTGGTTTTGAATTCCTGCTCTAAACCTAACTAACAGTAAGCAGCGACCACACCATTGCCTGGATGTTCTGCCAGACAACCCACTAGGTTTGAATTGAGCTTCACTCGGATATTCAGGGCACAGCAGAACTCAGACGTATTTATATTTTTTCAGTGACCTGTAGTTCAGTTCCTGATTCTGGCCTCCCACACTCCCACTGGAATGTCTGGTGAGTTCTGCTCACAGCGTTCTAGGACTGCAGCTTTCCCGGTCAGGTTTCTCACTTATCATCTGTCATACCTATTTTAGTTTTCCTTTTTTTTAATCTTTGGTTTTTCAAGACAGGGTTTGTTTCTCTGTAGCTTTGGGGCCTGTCCTGGGACTTGCTTTGTAGACCAGGCTGGCCTCGAACTCAGCAGAGATCTGCTTTCCTCTGCCTCCTGAGTGCTGGCATTAAAGGCGTGCGCCAGCACCGAGCAGCTCCAGTTGTCTATACTAGCAGTTGTTATGGTGCTGTCTATCATGCGCTATCTAGCTAGAAGCTACTTAGGGGAGAAGAAGCTGATTTTTGTCGCAGAGCTTAGAGGATACCAGCCGTTTGGGAAGTGAACAACTCAAGATCAGGGTGGAGAAAACAGGAGGCGTGTTTGTTGGTCTGTCTGTCTGTCTGCATCCTCATAGCTGGAGAAACAGCCCCAATAAAAACACCGAGAGTCAGAGAAATTAAACAGCAGGCCTTGGTCTTCCGTGTGTCTTTCTTCGTTTAATTAATCAAGGATGATTTGAATTGTGCTTTCACTTCAGAGTTGTGACCTTGAACCACTCATGGAACTTACTTCAATATATCAGATTCTTCGCATGAAAATTCACCTCAGTGTTGTGGCTTAGCCTAAATAGGTTTGCTAAACAGAAAACATTTAGAAACATGCTTGGCTGTTTGCCATATATTGACTGTTGAAATAATAAATAAAAGTTTATAAAGTAAAATGCATTCCCCTTGGTCCATCTCCTAGTTCCCCTTCTTAGCATTAACCAGCAGCGCCTTCCAGAGTGATTCGTATACCGTAGAAATGACTGCTAAGATGTCCTTTTGCTAATGAAATACAAGGTGGGAGCTAAGTATTTCCCAGTGTTCTAGAAGATGGGAGTATGACGAGAGGGGAGACGAGCCTTCGTCTCAGGTCTGCTGGGGATGCAGTGTCTTTTACAGCACCTGCTGAACTGCTTGCAGCATCTACTGACTTTTGCATATTTGTTATTTCTTTTAGGATATGATGTTTCAGCTTCTCCGAGGTCTGGACTTTCTTCATTCTCACAGAGTAGTGCATCGTGACCTAAAGCCACAGAATATCCTGGTGACCAGCAGTGGACAAATCAAACTGGCTGACTTTGGCCTTGCCCGTATCTATAGTTTTCAAATGGCCCTGACGTCAGTGGTGAGTAAGAGCACAGTCAGTTCATTACACTTAGTTTTCCTGTTTGAAACGACAAACTGCCCGCTTCATGTTCCTAATGGAATGTCTTGGCACGTTTTGCCAGCAGCAGGGAAGGGAGAAAGGGCTTTTCTTAGTATGGATACATCTGACTGGCTTTGTTGCAGAACAGCCCGTTGGCATCTCAGCCATTGAATAGCAGTCAGTTACAAATTTCTAAATGCTTTTTGCTATAATTTGTGATTTTAGAGTTGTGTAGATAACGATGGGAGAACACCTGGCCAGGGTCAAGATAGAGAAGGCAGGAGACATGTTACCTGCCTGCAGCAGTGTGGCTTGAGAAACGGGCACACCGCCTGCGCAGGTGGGATAAGGCAGTCCCTGAAGCTGTGACGCCATCTCAGTGAACTTGAATGACCTCTGAATGATGAATGAGTAGCACTGCCTAGCCAGGTGAAGGCTTCCTGTGGGCCACAGTAGAGACAACCTGAACCCTTGTTTTGGCAAAGAGCTTAAGCTTCAGAGCCGTAACAAGTCCTTCCTTTAATTGACTCCTGTTTCTGTTTATAGCTCGTCTTGTTGAATTCTACACTCAGGCTCTAAGAAGAGCACCCCAGTAGTTAGTATTAATAATCCTTGTCCTTAAAAATCCTGCTTGGCATGAAGTAAATTCATGAGTAGATGGAATGAGCAGTGTTTCCTCGTTGTGTCACTAGCGGGGCAGGGGATGGATGCCGAGAATACAGCTGTCAGAATGTGCCCTCAGACAAATCAAATTACAGCTTAGGAGACAGAGTCCATCCTCAGCCTCAAAGAGTTTCTGAAACCAGACCCTGCTTGGTGGGTGCCATGGCTGAGAAGTGTGAGGTGGCACCCTTGGTCACTGTTGGGACAGGATGACACGGCTCCATCCCCTGACGGTCCACACGGGATGACACAGCTCCATCTTTTGACGGTCCACACGGGATGACACGGCTCCATCCCCTGACGGTCCACACGGGATGACACAGCTCCATCTTTTGACGGTCCACACAGAGAAACAGGCAGCAGCAGCTTTCCCCGGTTCCTGCAGGGTTACATGCAAAGTTCAAGTCTGGAAGTGGAAACCAGGGAGAAAAGTAACTTGGTCAGAAAGAGCCTCCACATTACAGAAAGGTTTCTGGTCCTCCCTTTTCCTCTCTCTTCCAAGATCCCACATGCTAAAACTCCCTTCCATTCCCAGTGCTGGATACTTCCCTAAGGCTCTGGAGCAGTCTTTGAAATACGCTGTGCTCTGTCAAGGGAAATCCTACCTACCCTGTCTTTGCCAGTGCCTTAGAGAAGACAAGGCCCAAGCACATTTAAAAGATGCCTCAGCATTGGGTGGAGTGAAGCAAGCCTTTACGTAAGGGCACCAGAAAGGGCTGCATCTGTGGGCTTCCCCAATGGGAAGGGTGAGGTAGCCTTTGAGTTTCCTTAGGAAGTTACTGTCCTTGTTTTTGAGGGACCCTGGGGAGAAGTTTGAATAGGCTTTGTGACTGAGGGACTCCTTGGGGAGCAGATGAGGGAAACTAGTCCTTGGGCACATTAATTGGGGGAAGGATGAGCTGAGCCAGCAGGATTCTTCATCTTAATCCCCCTAAATTGGCACTAATAAAAATAACTATGAATAAAAACAGGAAACCAAATGGGTTTTGTTTTGGTATTTTGATTGTTGTTAAATTTGAAGAATGGTAACCCAACTTGTGAGTGACTTCAGTTAATAACGCATTCTTGCTGGAAGTTGGTATTTTTAAAGAGGAAAATGCTATTTCATATCCTAAGAAAAGGGCAGTGGCAAACAGATCTGATATTTGATGTCTAGTTTGTATTGTCTATTCTAAATTTACTATAGTGACTTAATAGAAGGTGTTAGCAACTGGTAAAGACGTTACTTGGAATTTAATGACGATATTGACAGGCATGTTTTCTTTAGGGGGTCTGCATTTAAAAAAATTTCCACTGTTAGTATTTTTTCCTAACAGGAAGAATCCATACAATTATGATGCTTTAATTTTTCATACACATACAAGAACAGAATTACTGTCTTTCAAACTGAGCTGCTACGCTAGTTTTAGTGTTTTTTTAATAGGCTGCACTCCAGCTGCCTAGAAAAACCCATTTTACAGTAGGTTATGTCCCATAGGGAAATTGAAAGCCACATACTATGCAGAGTGACTAAATATTTGCAAGTTACCTGACCTGAGACCACCATCTCAACTGCTGTGAGAAACATGTGACTGTATTGCTGACCTTCCAGACTTGACTCACACACCCCTGTTTTGTGGACCCCTGCAGAAACTGACTGTTCTCTACTTAGGATTACTAGAAGATTGATTCTGTGCGTCAGGATGCCTGCACCTGTGTACCAAGGCAGCCAGAAGAGGGAGTCGGATCCCTCAGAGCTAGGCACTTGTAGGGTGCCTGGTGGTAGCCAGGGCTCCAAACTCCAGTCCTCATGATTGCTCAGCAGTCACCACTAATCTCTGAGCCTTTGTTCCAGTCCCTAGAGAAATAGCTTTCCTATAACCCGTTCTGGTGGTAGTTATCTGAAGCTTTTATTTATAAAGTGGTGACGCATTTAAAGAGAGATACTCACTCTTGTTCAACCTGGGTGTTTACATGAGCATTTAGGGAATACTTCTTAACAAATAAGTTAATAAATGCCAACAGATAGATGCAAACATGTTGAATCATAAGATAAAAAGGGAAAGAATTGCATATACATTTAATGTTCTCAGTACTCCACATCGCTATCCTCTGGTGTTACACTGAGGACTTGGTGAAACATACACTTTCAAATGCTCACGCTCATTTTTACCATGGTGTTGACTGGGTCATTGGCAAGAATTTCTGTGCAAACTAATGGCCGTTATTGGGCCCCGTGTTAGGACTAGAGGATGGTTGGAACTCGGGTCCACAGTGAGTTGCAATCTTAAATTTACAGTAATCCTCTTTCCTGACTTAATCATCGGGGTGGGCCAAACTTTCTATCCTGAACAGGAAATGGAGGAGGATACCAGTATATGTGGTTATTATACTTCTACTTACTTCAGGACTTTATTTGTTTAACTCATTGTGTTTTGATGTTAGCAAGCTTTAGAAGAGGTTTTATTTTCTTCAAAGATAATTAACATCTTCCAAATAAAAGAATAGAATTACTAGAAAGGTTTTATTCTTCAGCTTTCCATGTGGACACATATGTATGAGTTTTGCTTTTTGCTTTTTTGTTTGTTTGTTTGTTTTGATCATTAACAGTAGCTTGTATTCTGAGGTCCTTGTAAAAACTTTGTGATGTTTTCACGTGTAACTTTCCTCCCAAGCTCGTATTCTGCATCCACCCTTATCTTCAGTATTAAAGATGTTCATGACCTCAAAACGTTTTCCCCACATAGAAATCACCAAAACCAATAATAAACCCAGTAAGATTGTTAGACATAAAAGTGCAGAAACAAATCACTTGCAGGTTTTCAACTGCAGTAATGAGATTCTAAATGTTGCATTGCTTAGTTATCATTCATTTACCACTGTGAACCTGACACCATTTGAACTGCATGCACTTCCTCAGACCAGTGCAGGGCGTGTGCATGCATGTGCATGTGGGGTGGGGTGTGCTTGTGCATGTCAGTGTTGTTAGCACTTGGTAAACACTGAAGAAACTATTCGGTTTCAGAGAATTTTATATGCTTAGGAAAAGAAAGGAAATGAGGTTTTGACTTTCAGTCAGCAGACAGTCATCCGTATGTGCCAGGCTCTGTCTGTGATCCTGAGAGACAATGCTGAGCTAAAGCCATCAAGGTCTTTGCTCTCATAGCTTACAAGCAGAATTGGGAGATGAGGCTGAAAGAGATGGCTTAGCAGTTAAGAGCACTGGCTGCTCTTCCAGAGGACCCAGCTTCAATTCCCAACACCCACAGAGCAGCTCACAACTGTTTGTAACTCCAGTTCCAGACTTGATGTCAGATCTGAATATAGCAGTCACACAACATAATATATCCTTGGGAAAGGTGGCGGCCCATGCTTTTAATCCCAGCACAATGGAGGCAGAGACAGGCGGATCTCTGTCAGTTCAATCCTGGTCTACAGAACAAGTTTCAGGACAGCTAAGACTGTTACACAGAGAAACCCAGTCTCAAAACAAGAAACTGAGGAAAATGCAATGAAGGAATAGATTAGAGTTCTGTGGGACCACACAACTCCTGGGTTTACTCAGGCTGGAGTCAGAGAAGCCCACACCTTTTACCTGAGCCAGAATAATGGAGTGTTGACAAGGTCACCCTCCTTCCAGAAGCTGTCTGTCTGCGGGTCCATTGGATGTGTTGTGCATCCAGTCTTCTGTTCATCGCATGACACCTGTTGAAGGAGCGGCAAGGCTGTGTCCCTGGCTCCCGGCCGCCCACATGGCTAGCTTATGCCCCGAAATAATTACACGGAAACTGTATTCTTTTAAACACTGCCTGACCTGTTATCTGTAGCCTCTTATTGGCTAGCTCTTACATATTAACCTAACCCATTTCTAATAATCTGTGTAGCCCACGAGCTGGCTCACCAGGGAAGATCTTAACCTGTATCTGTCTGGAGTGGGAGAATCATGGCGACTCCCTGACTCAGCTTCTTTCTCCCAGAATTCTGTTCTGTTTTCTCCACCTACCTAAGGGTTGGCCTATCAAATGGGCCTAGGCAGTTTCTTTATTAATAAGAAATCACTCCCACATCAGACACCCAGTAGGACCAGAGGTTAGAGAACAACGTCATCTTTTTCACAAGAAAGGCAGTTCTTTCATGTTTCCTCTCCGTGCATGTTGTATTTACTATGGAGACCTGGCAGGCTTTGTGCCTTGGCTTCTGCAGCGAGTTGCTCCCATAGAAGCCTCCAGAGGCTGCCAATGAGTACTGAATGGCTCAAACCAAGAGCCTTACATGAGTATCATGGAAAAAACCCAAAGCCCTGCCACCTGGGCACATCAGAAAAAGTTAGGGTCACA